ATGTCAAGGGTTGTTTTATGCAGGACGGAGCCACAACTCATACACGTCTGGAGACCCAGCACTTGCTGTCAGAGAAAAGTCCATATTTCTGCAGGAGAGACATGTGGCCCGCAAATAGTCCTGGCTTGAATCCAATTGAAAGTCTAAGGTCAATTCTTGATAACATAGTTGACGAGAAACTGCTTGTTCCTACTACTGTTTCTGGATTGGAGAGATCTCTGCTGCATGCCTGAAGAAAGATCCCCTTGGAGACCCTCTAGAATCTCATTCATTCCATGTCGACTAGGGTAAAATCTGTCCTTAAGGTCAAAGGAAAATGTCCTGGAAAGTAAATTGTGAAATATATATTACTTTAGAAACTGTGTGTTATAGAGGGTGAAAGCAATTTCGGGATATCTTTTATTTTCTTGTTTGCTCGTAATAAATTACTTTTTTATCCTGATGCGTTTATCACGAACGCCAACCTCATCGTCTACTTTTTAAAACGTTTAAATTTCTTATTTACCAGAAGTAGTTGTGCTACTTGCCTGTCCGTCGTGTATAAACCTCTTTCTTCTGCAAATGTCGTTTTTCAGACTTTAAGGGGTGTACTGATCTCTAATAGTGTAATTTTATTTTTTTCAGGGCATCTCTAAACGCAGTTTGGTGAAGGAGTTACTAGCCCTCTTTGCATTAAATCTGCGAATGCAGCGGTTGTATGTCGAATTGAAGGAGCTCCTTGAACAATCCCAGGAAACCTAAAATAAGCATTTCGTCGCCAAAAAAACACTAAAGATTACAGTTATGGCTTTTTATAGTATTTGAATACAAAACAATGTTCCTTAATCTTTTTTGCGTTGTGTGCGTTTACGCTGTCAAAACAATCACATCGCTTTTGCGTTTTTCAACAATTATGCGGACCTCATCATTAAAAAATATTCATTTTAGAGCATATTCTGGGCTATTTCTACCTATTTTAACATCGACGTGGACTGTTACCACGAATAACTGAATGCTTCTCCTACTAAGCGCATGTACCCTTATTTTGTTTGACTTTCGTACTCACCGTAAGATGCAAAATTTATGGCAAAAATGACTCCATTCACTGTGATCGGAATATAATTTAGCAGTTGACGCAGGAGTAAATAGCTTAGCATAAAACATAACATCTACTACGGAGCCAGTTAAAGTCTGGGTTTCAGTTTTTGGTCTCTTTACACGTAAGTTACTGTGCTAGCCATGACAATACGGACGATGGTATGCCAGTTTACGGCAAGGGATAGATCTTTAGCCTCGGCGCTTGGGGCGGAACGACTTCTCAGCAGTTAGTTACTACTGAAGGTGATAGACAATATCATCCGAACTCCCATCCGAAAACCACTTGACGGTTGTGAAATGTCGTTCTATGATGGTAGCGAGTAAAAAAAACAAAAAAAGACAAGCAATGGAAGAGGGCATTTGGACGATGCGTTTGAAAATCAGTACATCATTTAATCTAAGCAGGGGACGTGTGTTTTTTCAAGTTCGGATCACAAATGAAATTTCGCTATCAATTGGGTTGTGCGAGGTTTAAAAGGATCCAAGTGGTATTTATTTTACACGGTGTGACCAAGGCACGTATTTTTTTTACCTGGAGGACTTGTGAATTAAGTCTTTTTCGCCCGGAATAGAGATTCGGAGTTTATAAGAGTTTGTAGAATGGCAGGAAAATAGGCTTCGGTAATTGCGAATTACTATGAGAGTACAATGGACAACATCTTGAGGGTTTCCAGTTGAGAAGGTAGGGAAGAGAGTTAAGCAGACAAGCGTTTACCGAGGCCGTTTATTTACAGGCAGCAACGCAAGTAGTTGCAGCAAGCGCTCTCATCGCGCAACTGACAGTCGAAGCACATCCGGTTGGGCTTCTCCCGGCTGCAACCAATCGATAACGGGAAACTTGTAGATTGCTGGCGCGGCGTTTATGGAGTGTCACACGCGCCTACGCAGTGCTTGACATACGGGTCTGACAATCATGACAACGGGCGACCATGTCATGAACAAAAGTTTCTCTAAACCAACGTGGCCACCTTATTTACAGTTATCAAGCGTTATCATATTCTTTCGAGGTCTGTATAGCCGTTCACTATTTAGCCGGCCTAGTCACGACCGTAATAATTTTAATCATATTGCAAACGTTCAAGTCAATCTATCGGAAGTTGATATATCATATTTGCAAAGTAAGGGTCTGTAATTAATACAATCTGCTTAAAAGGTGGTTTTAACTCAGTTGTGCAATGGTTACCGTGCTGCATATTTGTCTGGGTTGTGCTAGCCACCAAGTGGTTTAAACGCTTCCATTTTTTATGCAACATCCCAATTCAGTAATTTGAAATAAGTTTAAATTTGCGTCCAATGCCGCCTTATCGACTAAAATATTAGGACTGGACCCAAATGCACCGGCCTAATAGTAGTCGCTACCAGCCATAGCGCCGCGACATACTTGCAAGATAATATAGCACTCAAAATTTGCGGCGATCGCTGTCATCCATTAAAGCCGTATCGGTTTATTGAGGGAAAGATAGGCGAAAGAAGAAATTTTTTAAAAAAGTACGTCAATTGCATGCTTGCGCGTGAAAACACAGCAGTCGTTGGTCAGTCTAAAAAGTAATAACAATGGTTACTCGTTTAGCACGAGTAGTATGATGGAATGTCTGAATAACTGTCCCTTGCATAGCCGGTGGCTGCGAAGTAGATTTTTTGGTACATGCACAGTTTGCTCTTAAATTTTATATATTCCTTTCTGAAAACCACAATAATCAACTACGACAGTTGCTTATGATTAAAGAGGTGCTGTCAGTCTTTTTTTCATCTAGACATGGGTGCTTCTTGTAAGGAGACCCTAACGAACAGCCAGCATACAGGTAGCGAGCCGCGCTCACAGCAGGCTATCGATCCGCCTACACGTGTCGAACGCATACTGGCAGTCAGTCAATCAATAAATTAAAATTTAAGCTGCAGCTAGTCGCTGATTCGCAAGCCAATCATGTCGCTACCCACGCCAGGACAGAAGCTGGTTGGCCCGATGGAAATTGTTTTATACGCGTATGTTGCCCTAAATATGTTGTACTAATTACTCTCAAAGAATTCTGCTTTTGCCCTCTTCTTGTCGCGTCATTCCTTGGGGGCTCACACAAGACGTAATTAGGCGATGTGATCTCCGCTTTGGCTACCGTTACAACATATCTTGCCCCCCCCCGACTCTGTATCCAGCAGTAACCCGTATGTCAAACCCCAATGATAACAATTAGTAATGCAGTACGGTACTATAAAACCAATAACGAAGAATAAACAACGTAAAAACCTTAACAGTCAAGAAAGATGGAGTCGGCCAAATATCGCCTGACTCTAGGCAGAGGAACAACGCACGTTCAACAACGCCACACGGGTGTAGGACGGAGCCAGTCTTGTGTCGGTGGGAGAGAGAGTGACCGGTGCTTTTACATGACTTAAGGAGTCAGTTTTTGCGGCCCATAACGTGTAAGCGAGGGAGGGGAGTGTCGGAGGGGTTCGCGGTTAACTGGCACACAAGCGCTGCGTCGGCAGGGGAGGGGAAGGGATGGGTGATGCGAGTGTGCGCGGATAAGTACAGTCCTGCGAGTCCCGCAAACAACTTTCATGATGAAATTTAACTTGGCAGTTTAGCATATATCTGGACAGGTTATTTTGATCAACTGTGTGGATTTAATAATAAGAGGGGCTTTGGTTTGGAAAACTGCCCTCTTAGTTAAGTTATTGGGAGAAATAGGCACTCATTTTGGCCAAATCATGAGTAAGTTTATATTAAAGAAATTCCCTATACTATAAGGAAAGACAGAACCAAACTTTTTTCTGATATACATTGTGATGTGGAAGAATTCCGTAATTATCAAAAAAGGTGGAATAATAATCCCTTCTAGAACTGGAAAATTTTGTGCCAAGTTGATCAAATGGAAGTGAAGTGAAGTTCAAAGAATCGCATTTTTTTAGAAATAAGCAAGAATTAAAGTTATAAGAATTATGTTAAGCTATTCTGTGAAGTTTTTTGCACAAAATGCAGTAACAAAAAGTTTCGTTTGTTTAAACCTCACCGCTGACCTTGCGCATCAGCAAACTTTGCCATGCATGTTACCGCGAAGGGAATTTA